GCAGGGAAAAGGGAGAAAGTTCTGGGTACGCACAGCAAAAAAAAAAAAAAAATATATATATATATATAAATGTTTAAATTAAGTGTGCACTACATCGAAGTATAGAGGATAGAACAAGTTTAGCCTGAAACCAGGTTGAGAAGCAAGTCTGGATGTACTTGGGCATGCTCTGAGGACGGCGCTGAGTGTATGTTTAATAGGTTATCTTGCACGTCACATCCCTTCTGCTAAAGATGCTTATTGCTTTTCGGTGGCCATCTTCAGCTCAACCAGGAAGAGTTTTTCTCATGTAGCCATGCAGAAATCCATGCGTGAGCAGTGTGTCTTTTGGCATGTGCTGTGATGCTGCAGCGAGCTGTGAAGTCAGCGCGTTGAGGATTTACTGAGACCAAATAGCTGGGCTGAGCCCGCTCGCTGCCGTATCTGTTAGCAGCAGCTGCGCCTGCTGCGGTGACAATATGATCTGTAAGGAGCTGTTGCCAGAGGAATCCTGATAAAAACCCGTTCCTAGAAGTTCCTTGTCTCTGAAGTGACGCAGATAATCGGGCTTCGCCAGAACGCGCAGACACGGGCTCTGTGTTTGCAGAGCCGGATTTGACTGTCTGGGTCTAAGGCACTAAAGGAAAGGGGCACGGTCACGTTCAAAGTCTTACTTAGAGCGTTCTTAATTGCTCTAACTAATCCAAAATATTCTGCAAGTATTAAAGAAAAAAAGCTTAACATGAATTCTCTTCACTTTGCGTAACTTCTCCCACTGGACCTAAAATTCATTGTCTTTTCGGTTCTCTTTACCTGGATAGCATAGTGCCAGTGGGGTAAAAGCTACTGAAAATAGCTTAAAGCCGAACAGTAAACGTTGCAAGATTGAAGTAGTTTGACAGCGCGCCTTTCGAAATTAGTGCCCGAACGATTTGGAGCGGTCTGCCGCCAGTGGCGAACGGTGCTTCTGCGTCCTCGGCGAGGTGCTGGCCCTGCCGGCGCCGGGGGAGACCTGCCGCCTGCTTCGGAGGGACGGCGAGCGCGCGGCTGCTCCGGGAGCCCTTCCTCAACTCAGCCGGTCAATACCTTCGCTTACTTGCATGGGACTTCTTTCTTAAAACCTCTGGTTTTAGGGTGAAACTCTCGTTCCCTTGACTGAAGTAATAACCTGTCGAATGAGCAGAAATCCTTTTTGCCGGGATGCTTCCACAGAAAGAGATTGTACTTACGTCCATCCAGCTGTTCTGAAATGTAACGCTATTCTGTTGTGCCTTTATTTTTCCATGTAAAAGCAACTGCTGTAAGCTTTTTTCCCCCCACCTTTACTAGTTTTTTGGGTTTTTTTTTTCCTGTCTGAAAAAACACTTTTCATTGCCCAGCTGTTATTTCTGGATGCAGTCTGTGATCCAGGTATTTCAAGAACCAGTTACCTCAACCTCATGTTAAACAGTGTTGCTATCTGGATACTCCTTGATACTACAATATGGTAACATACACAAACAGGAACCTTGCTATAGATGGGTGTTTATATATATATATATATATGTGTGTGT